CTCTCTCTCTCTCTCTCTCTCTCTCTCTCTCTCTCTCTCTCTCTCTCTCTCTCTCTCTCTCTCTCTCTCTCTCTCTCCTCTCTCTCTCTCTCTCTCTCTCTCTCTCTCTCTCTCTCTCTCTCTCTCTCTCTCTCTCTCTCTCTCTCTCTCTCTCTCTCTCTCTCTCTCTCTCTCTCTCTCTCTCTCTCTCTCTCTCTCTCTCTCTATATATATATATATATATATCTCTCTCTCTCTCTCTCTCTCTCTCTCTCTCTCTCTCTCTCTCTCTCTCTCTCTCTCATGGCGACGGGGGGCGCAGCCAACAGCCGCAGAGATCACACTTCCAATCACACAGGGGGTGCAGCCCACAGACGCAGAGTATACGCTCCCTTTCACACTGAGTGCGCCAGCGTCGGAGGCGCCACCTGGGGGGGGCACCTGCGCCCCCGCCCGGGGGGGGGCGAGGGACGCATCACTTTCGCAGGCCGCGATTTGCATGGCAGCAACGGGCCAGCTGCCAGTGGCCAACCTCCACGCCCCTGTCCCCCGCGCGCGCGGTGCCACGAGGGGGGGCAGCAAGGCTACTGTGGGGAGACGGCCCACCACTGTTTTTTGCGCTTCTTGGGGGCCTGGTTGTTCGGGCGGCCCTTCGCCGCGCGGTGGTCACTGCCCACTCCGCCGCTTCGACCCAGGTGCAGCTGCCACAGCCGAGTCCAGTCGACGTCGAGGCCCAGCGCGTCACTGACGACCCGCACGTCGCACTTGTGGCTGCGGAAGGATTTCAAGAAAAGGTGGCAGGTTTGCGGGTCACGCCGAAGCGGGTCGAGCGCGCCCACGCTGCCGGGCACAGACTGCCGCTTGGCGAAAGCGCGCCAGGTGCCAGCGAACATTGGCCCCAGTGTGACTTGGAGTCGTCTCATCGCCTCGCCGGGTGTCTCCCCAGGGAGGTCCCACTGGATGTTGTTGATTTCTGTTTTGTACAACTGCTGTCCCGTGTCGGGGCCCTCGAGCTCTGGCCATTGGCGCGGGTCAGGCCATTGGTGCCGCCGTGTATCCTGGCCGCAAGTCTCCAGCGTACCGGCCTCGTTGTCCTGGCCCGAGGGCTCGCGATCTGCTTGCGGGGTTCCGCGGGGAGAAGCAGGCCGCACGGTTGGCCGCCAGGCGGGGGTCGGATCGTATCCGGCAGCCAGGGCGGACGCTGCCCTGCGGTACGTGGGGCGAGACCCCTTTCGCTGGCGTTCGCCTCCGGGCCAGCGCCCGCCGTCGCTCCCAGGGCGCGCCCCCTTCGGTCAGAGCAGGACTCTCTCCGGTCTCTGGGGCGCCGCTGGTTGCGCCTGGCGCGCGCGCGCACGGCGACGCAGCTTCCATCGCCGGAGCACGAGGTTCTTTGCCAGTCGAGCCCTGGACGTCTGGAGAGGGCGCCCGGGGTTCGCCGCCCATAAGAATGGGTTCACTGACAGGGGAAGGGGGGCGAATAGGCGCGAAGGGGTTTCTCCCGACGAGCCAGTGGATGGCTTCGCTGTCCTGCGTCTGGACGGTTGGTCCGCGGCCCCCCTGCTGGGTCTGTGGCGCCCCCAGAGGACTGCTGACGGTCTGATTGTTCTGAGGGGGAGGTGGGGGTGGCACGGTGTGGCAGGCGAGCCCCTGCTGTCCCGGAACCTCGCTTAGCTGAATGGGGGCTACCGTCAGCACTATCGGGGGCCACCCCCTGTCCACCCGGTTCTAATCCAGAGACGCGAGTGAAGGCTTGTGCCACTTCCGCACCTTCCGAGGCATCCGCCGCTTCGGGCCCCCGATACTCCGCGGCTTCCGCAGCCTCCGCCGACTCCGCCGTGACCTCCCTTTCCTTTTCTCTGCCCTGCTGCTGCTGCTGAGGGAGCACGGGTGCCTCTGCGTCTTCTCGTGGGTTCTTCTTGGGGTCGCTGGGTGGCTCTCGTTGCTGCTGCGGGGGGTGCTGCTGCTGCAGCTACGGGGCTCTGTTGCTGCTGCTGCTGCTGCTGCTGCAGCGCTGCTGCTGCAGTGGCTGCTGCGGCTGCTGCCCTGCTGCTGCTGCTGCTGCAGCTGCTGGGTTCTGTCGCTGCTGCTGCTGCTGCTGCTGCTGCGGCTGTTGCTGCTGCTGCTGCTGCTGCTGCCCTGCTGCTGCGGCTGCTGCTGCTACTGTTGCTGCTGCGGCTGCAGCTGCCGCTGCCGGGGGTCGCCGGTGGCCGCGGCGGCGGCCGCCGCCGCAGCTGCACCGGCGGCCGCGCCGCCGCCGGCCGTGGGGGCGGCCGCGGCGGCGCAGGCCGCGGGCACCGCCCCGCGCCCCAGGGCCCAGGCGCGGCCGGCGCCGCAGTCGCCACGCAGCCGGCCGCGGCAGCCGCCGCCGCGGCCACGGCGCCGCTGCAGGCAGCCCCGCCGGCGAGGCCAGCGGCGCGGCCAGTGCCGCCACGGCCTCCCAAAGGCCCGCGGCGGCCGCCGGCGGCGCCGCAGGCGGCCGCCGCGGCCGCCAGAGGGGAAGCATCAGCAGCGGCGCCGGCAGCGCCAAAGGCGCCAGCGGCCGCCGCAGCGCCGCCGGCGGCGGCCACGGCACTGGCGGCAACGGCGGCGACCGCGGCGCCAGCACCGCGGCCCACGGCGCACGCGGCGTCCGCGGCGCCGGCGGCCGCGGCAGCCCGCGCTTCGGCGTCCGCGGCAGCGGCCACGGCGGAGGCCGCGGCCGCGTCGGCGCCCGCGGCGCAGGCGGCGCCCACGGGGAGGGGGGCGCCAGCCGCAGCAGCGGCGCCAGCAGCCGCCGCAGCCGCAACCGCCGCGGCGGAGCCAGCGGCGGCGGCGGCAGCGCGGGCGGCGACCGCGGAGGCGGCGCCAGCCGGCGAGGCGGCAGCGCCGGCGGGCGAGGCGGGGCGCCACCCAGCGGCGGCCGCGGCGGCAGCGCCAGGCGGCCAGCGCGAGGGTGCGCCAGAGCAAGGGGCGCCGCAGCACCAGCGGCGCCAGGGAGGCCCAGTGCCTCCTGAGGAAGCGGAGTAGCCTCGCCCCGTCGAGCTGCCGCCGCCACGCTCTGCCGGCGGCGTCGGGCCGATGGGGTCTCCCACCATCCTCCGTCGAATGAAGTCCACCGTTGACCTTGGCTCTGCAGCGGCTCCGCCTTCCTGGCGGCGCCCCAGCTTGCAGGCCCATCGTCCATCCATCGATGCGTACGTGCCAGGTTGCAGGCGCCTGCGGCCATGCCAGGAAGACGGGAACAGGGGTAGAATCTGGAGCAGGGCGAAGGAAGAGGCCTCCTGGCGGCACGCGGCTTGAGCCAGAGCGGCTTGAGCCAAGGGGCTTGAGCCAGACGGGCTTGAGCCAAACTACGGAACCTGGTGGGGATACTTTTTTTGGTCGCGGCTCCAAGGAAAAGCCCAGGGAGCTGCCACAACGTCCGGGGCGCGGTACATTGTAAATTTGCGAATCCAGCCGTCACTGTCGACAGCCGACCGCACCTGCAAGCATGCTCGCAGTTGCACGTGCACAATACAAAATGAACTAAATTCGCCGACAACGCACATAGGCGCAGCAGCGAACCGTAAGGCACGAGCTACAAGTGCGAAGACAGCTGAGTGAGTCGCCATTCCGGCGCCAAACTCGTGCAGACCGTGCGAAGTGAGCGAGCGACCAGCACACACTAAGCTGAGCCATGTACAATGGTGAGGCAAAAAAGGGCCTATCGCAACAAACTAACTGACGCCACGAGGTGGGTGGACCACGTAAAAGCCTTCAGAAGACGAAACTCTGATGTGCACCAGCGAAGTACCACCTGGTGGGGATACGCGAAGCGTCAAGAGTTAATTACAACAATAATAATAATAATGCTAAAAACAAAAACAGAAACAACAACAATGATAATAATAAACTAATACTGCTAATAATAATGATGCTGGTGCTGATGTAGATGCTGGTGCTGATGCTGATGCTGATGATGACGATGATGATGATGATGATGATGACGATAGTGATGGTGATGGTGGTAATGATGGTGATGCTGATGAGGATGAGGAGGACGATGGTGAAGTTCATGATTATGGTGTTGGTGATGATGACGATGACGACGATGACGATGACGATGATGTTGTTGATGATGATGATGAGGATGGTAGTGGTGGTGATGGTGATGGTGATGATGGTGATGACGATGGTGATGTCGGTGGTGGTGGTGATGCTGATGGGGACAATAACAACGATGATGATGATGGTGATGATGATGGTGCTGACTATGAAGATGGTGACGATGATTATGATGGTGATGATGGTGATTACGATGTTGATGATCATGGTGATGATGATGGTGATGACGATGTTGATGGTGCTGATGATGCTAATACTGATGATGATTATGATGGCGATGACCATGATGATGATGCTGATGATGATGATGATGCTGAGCTGATGCTGATGCTGATGCTGACGCTGATGATGATGACGATAATGGTGATGATGATGGTGATTACGATGTTGATGATCATGGTGATGATGATGATGATGATGTAGATGATGCTGATGATGATGCTAATGCTGACGATGATTATGATGACGATGCGATGACGATGATGATGATGATGATGCTGATGATGATGATGATGATGATGATGATGATGATGATGATGATGATGATGATGATGATGATGGTGATGATGGGAGGAGGGAGGGGAGGGAGGAGGAAGGAGAAAGGAGAAAGGAGGAGGGAGAACGCGGGGCGCTGCCTCTTCAAAACGGGGACCCAACACCACAAGATGGTTGGGAACAGGGACGTCTGACCAAACCAATCGGGTCAACGAAGACACGCAACACAGACCCGACAAGGTCGATCCGCTCAAGCATTCTTGGCAAGGCAAGGCCAGGCGGAGTCCACCGCGCTGCTCCGCACGCACCATTACCCACCCAGCCTATACGTATCAGCTCAGGGCGCATCTCGGAAACGCATCTGCACCAATCATCCTCACCGACCAGTGAACGCCTCATCTCCCCTCAAGCCCTTCCTCCTGCCTCTGTTCGCTCTCGCTCTCCTCGGTGGACCCCCTCTGAGATCGGCCTCGCGAGCGAGCAGGGAAGTAAATCAGACTCCGCAGCACAACGTCGGGCACAAGCCACCTTCTGCAATTTTTCTTCGCCCACCTACCCATGCGGACCGTGCGGAGCCTTGCCGCCACGGTGCAGGGCTTTCCTGTACACGCTCACAGCATACGAGCTTTGAGCAGAGGAACAGAAATGTGAGCACATCCCTTCCGTCATCACCAGCCCCGCCGCGTGAGCACCCTCGATGGCGGGTTCTGTCGGACTCTGGTGAAGCCTCCTCCTATTCCGAATCTAGCCACACCACCAACTCGACTGCGGTCCTTCTGTGCACAAACATGGCAGGGGGTTAAGCCAGGCGGTGCAACTCCAGGGGATTGAATCCAAAATGACAAACGACTCTGAAAAACCAATGCGGTCGAGCGAAAATGCGCAGCGCAAGTCCAAGAACGGGAGCAAGTTCCGCACCCAACAAGCAGAAAGGTGTGTGTGCTATTTTGTGATAGCCGTGTACGTAGATATTACCATACATACACACCCACGTATATGTACATAGTTGTTGGCGTCGAAACCTCGCGCGCAGCGTCGAGGCGGAGGAAGTATTCGAACGGGCGGGCACCATAGATATGCGCACGCACATACACACATACACACACATCATGTGGGGCCGTCGACAGTGGAGAAGGCGAGTCTGCGAACATCGCACACATGATCGTCTCAAGGACCCGGAAAGGAATATAAAAATGTAAGGCATGGCAACGTGTTCAAGACACCTGGTTGAGCGACAAGCAATTGCAATGCTGGATGTCTACATCTTGATGCACTGTGCCTAGGGTTGCGCTGTGCTTCGCCATGCTGAATTGCGATGTGCCATGCCGCGATTGTGATCTATAGCGTTGTGGATCGGCCCCTCCTTAGCATTCGAGTCCTAACCGAACTGATCTGGATCTGAGGCCCGAACTGTCTGGGCATAGTAGCTGCCCCGAGCGAGTTCAAATGGAAACGTGGAGGACGTTCAATCGACGCAACCTGGAGAAAAAACCCGACTCAACTCCGACATGGAACGACACGACACGGAGCACAGCCTCACGCACAAGCCAAAGGATGTGCCAGGGGCGCAATAGGGGATGCACCAGGAAACGTGTCAGGGGACGTCTTAGGGGACGTGTCCTGAAGGTGTCAGGGACCTGCCACGGGACGTGCCAAAGCGCGTGCCATGGGGCGGCCAGAAGACGTCATGCCAAGGGACGCTACAAAGGGCCCGGCACGGAACGGGCAGGCAAAACACCTGGGGACGAGCCGGGAAACGCGAGTGGACGAGCCAGGGAACGTGCCACGCCGACCAGGGCACGTCACGCCAGAGCGTCACAGGGGACGCGCCAAGGGACGCGCGCCAGGGGACGCCCCACGAACGGGCGCGGTTGGACTGCGACTCAGTCAACTGCGACAAGCGTTTCGCTCGAGCGTTGTGGACTGCGACGCAGTCAACAGATCCTTGTGTTGGACATCTGCCTGGGCGACCTGGACACGTGAAAGCAGACGTCTCGCTCGAGACATCCTCGACAAACCTGGGCCGGCACAGTAACGGAAAGAGCGCATCAGAAACTTGCCCGAGATGGCTCGTGGCACCGTTCAGACTGGGGAGCTTCGATGGTAAGAGTTGTTTGCATCACCGCTCGCCAGTGGGAGCCTTGGTTTTAAGGGTTTGCTCTCGGGAGCCTTGGTGTTAAGAGCTTGTCACGTCACTTTGAATTTGTGGGAGCCTTGGTGTTCAGAAATTGTAACGTCACCGTCCGTCCTTGGGAGCTTTGGTGTTAAGAGCTTGTCACTTCAGTACCGGTCTTGTGATACTTGGTGTTCAGACCTCCTCCTCCTCCTCCTCCTCCTCCTCCTCCTCCTCACCCTCATCCCCACCCCCATCCTCCCATCCTCATCCTCATCATCACCATCACCAACACCATCATTACCCTCCTCAGCAACAGCACCATCATCACCATCATCATCAGCATCATCATCAGCAGCATCAGCATCAGCATCGTGTTCATCATCATCAGCAGCATCACTCGCATCATCAGCATCATCATTATCAGCATCACCATCAGCATCATCATCACAATCAGAATCATCATCATCATCATCATCATCATCATCATCATCATCATCATCATCATCATCATCATCATCATCATCATCATCATCATCATCATCATCGTCATCGTCATCGTCATCGTCATCGTCATCATCGTCATCATCGTTATCATCGCAATCATCATCATCCTCATCATCGCAATCATCATCATCATCCTCATCATCATCATCATCATGATCCTCATCATCATCATCCTCATCATCAGCATCATCATCATCATCATCATCATCATCATCATCATCATCATCATCATCATCATCGGCATCATCATCGTCATCATCATCAGCAGCATCATCATCCCTCTTCTGCTCCGCTTCCTCCGCTATGCAAGGGATGCCCTTGAACTCTAGATGCCGCTTCCAGGAGACACCTTCGTGGGGGATGCCCTCCAAACCGGTAGCGTTTGAGCATGGTCCCGCTTCCCTCCTCCATTATTCTTCTCGCGCAGCATCTTGGAGCTCTTTCATCCTCCCTTTCTCCTCCGCCATCCTGCCTCCTCTCTGCTCGCCGCGCCCTGGTCGAGGCATCTCCACGATTTGCTCCAGCATGGCTCCCCCTGATCAGCCCTTGTAGCTTACCAGGGAATCGTGCTCGCGCCTCGGCGCCGGCTACCTCCTCCATCGGGCCAGGGGCGCCCAGACCTCTCCCCGAGCACGATTCGACAACCGAAGTGGGATCGACTGGCTCTTCTGTGTCGTGCTCCTCCTCGTTCTTGTCTCCTCCCCCGCGGAGCCCAGAGACTCCAGGATGTCTCAAGAAACCGGGCTGGACCACCTGTGGCGCTGCATCGCGGAGCCCATTCGCGAGAATGCCTCAAGCGGAACGCGCCAGACCACCTGGCGCATATACTCTGGAAGCCCAGACTTGCGAGGATGTCTCAGGCGAAACGAGCTGGACCACCTCGCGCACATCTTCAAGAAACCCGGCATTGCGAGGATGCCTCAGTCGAAACGGGCTGGACCACCTCGCGCGCAGCATCTCGGAGCCCCTAATTGCGAGGACGTCTCAATCGAAACGGGCTGGACCACCTGGCGTGCGACATCTGGGAGCTCAGAGTTGCGAGGATGTCTAAGGCGACGCCCAGACCCCTCCCAAAGCACAACTCGACAACAGACGCGTCATCAAATGATTCGTTTGGGTCTAACTATTCATCCCTCCCTTCTCCTCCCTCTCGGAGCCCAGAGTTTCGAGGATATCTCAGGCGAAACGAGCCAGACAACCTCGCCCGCAGCATCACGCAGCCCCGAATTGCGAGGATACCTGATGCGAAACGGACCTCGTACCCCTGCGTACATTTTCTCAGAGCTCAGAGTTGCAAAGATGTGTCAAGCAAAACGAGGCCACATTTCGCACAGCATGTCAGAGGTCAGGGAGGCGAGGATGTGTCAAGCGAAAAGCGCTGGACCAACTCTCGCGCGGCAGCTCGGAGCTAAGTTGCGAAGATGTCTCAAACGAGAATCGCCGAACCACCTCGCGCGCGGCAGCTCGGAGCGCAGAGTTGCGAAAATTTCTCAAGCGAAGCGCGACGGACCACCTCGCGCGGCGTCTTGGAGATCAGAATTGACTGAATGTCTCAGGCGAAACGCGCCGGACCACCTCGCGCGCGGCAGCTCGGAGCGCAGAGTTGTGAGGATGTCTCGAGCAAAACGCGCCAGACCACCTCGCGCGCGGCATTTCAGAGTCAGAATTGGGAGGATGTCTCAGGCGAAACTCGCTGGACCTCCTCGCGCGCGGCAGCTCGGAGCGCAGAGTTGTGAGGATGTCTCAAGCGAAGTGCGACGGACCATCTCGCGCGCGGCGTCTGGGAGCTCAGAATCGGAAGAATCTCTCAGGCGAAACTCGCTGGACCACCTCGCGCACGGCAGCTCGGAGCGCAGACTGCTGCATCGCTGCGATCATGAGGCTCTGATAGGACAGGAGTCGGGGGCGCCAAACGAGCGCCTCGCTCCAGACAGCCCCGTAATCCGAGCGCTAACGGGCAAGTCGCGGCGATCATGGAGCTGTGAAGCGAGAGGAGTCGGGGGCGGCAAACGAGCGCCTGGCTCGAGACATCCCCGCAATCTGGGAGCGAACGGACGAGTGTCACACCCCCTGAAAGGCTCAGCGGGCCTCCTGGGTGCCTCCAGGAGGGCCTCTTGGGGATCTCTTTTGGAAATGTTGGGTTTCTTGGGCTGCCCTTGGCGGTCACGGGCTGGTTGGGTCCGCTTGCGGCCCCCTTTCGAATCTCTGGGTGGGTCTTTAAGCCATTTGGGGGGCCTCCAGAGCGGACCTCCCGGAACCCTCTGTTAGCTTTTGGGGCTGCCCGGGACGTCACGAAGACCGAAGCAACGAGCTTGACACTGCAAATTGCAACTATCCGCCTGCTGGTGCTGACGTGTCGGGGCACTCGTGGGGCCCCTGGGAAGACACTTGGGCCCTCGTGGAAGTGACAGGCACTGTGGCTGGATTTGGAATCCATCAAATCGGCACAGCATCCTGGACCACTCTGCGAGCCGTTAGTGGGGCCGGGAATGGTGACCCTGAGGGCCCAAAACTCGTAAAAATGGGTGCCGCCCATCTGGCGCGGAGCCTGGCAATAGAATACGGAATAGATCATGTACTTGTGCGCACATTATATATATATAAATATGTATGGAGAGAGAGAGAGAGAGAGAGAAACAAAAAAAAAAAACATGCACATGTATGTATACGCATACGCAGATATATACATACATATACATATATACATATATATATATACACATATAATACATATATATACACATATACACATATATATATATATACACACACATGTATATTTACAAATATATATATATATATATATATACATGAGAGAGAACGCGTTTCACGGGCGCTTGCCTGGGGAACATTCGGAGGCGCGTTTCAAACCGGGGGGTGGGCCCCCCCCCCCAACACTCGGCGCCGTCGATCAAAACCACGGGGACTCCCCTCCCCCCCAAACCCCCCCCTCCAGACCACCCCCCTCTCGGTTTCAAACATCGCCCCCCCCCCCTCCCAGAAGGGGGGGTTTTCAACCCCCCCCCCCCTCGGCGCCGGCGCCGGAGCTGGCGGCCGCCAGCAGCGCCCACGGCGGGGAAGCAGCGACGATGACCAAAGGCAGCCCCTGGGGGGGGGGTTGAAACCCCCCTGCCCCCCCTGGCGCCAGGAGGGGGGGGGGATTCAACCCGCCCCCCCCTCGCGCTTGCGCCGGCGCTGGCGGCGGCCAGCAGGCCGGCGACGGCGGGGACGCAGCGACACTTACCACCACTACCACCACCACCACCACCGCCTCAACCCACCACCAACAGCACCCACCACC